CCTCATTCTTTTTCATCACCAGGCTGGTTTTTGTAGCTTGCACGTAATGGCCTGGGTGTTACTGTGCCAAGAAAGAGTTGGCAGTGTCTTTTTTAATAGCGCCTCATTCTTTTCCATCACCAGGCTGGTTTTTGTGGCTTGCACGTAATGACCTGGGTGTTACTGTGCCAAGAAAGAGTTGGCAGGATCGTTGAAGTTATACTCTGAGTCCATTTGCCTCCTCAGTGGCACACGGGTAAGGGAAGCAAAGATGGGAAGTGGCACACGGGTAAGGGAAGCAAAGATGGGAAGTGGCACACGGGTGAAGATCGCCTGTAGGAGGCACAGTGACCCCCCTAGGACCCAATTACGGCCACATGAATTTGAGGCATCATATAAGCAACTCTTTTCTGGTGGGAGAAGGGACCAGGAGAAGGAAGTAGAATCAGGCTGGTATGTGAAGAGAGGGTTACTAGTCTCTCTCCTACAGGAACCACCATATACACACTGCAAATATATACCCCGTAACCCAACAAAGCCGAATTTCAGCCAAAAGCAAGAGTATGCCGTCAGCTCAAGGAGACCCTGGTTATCTCAAACAGCTCAGAAGCCTGCATTGGTAGTTCACCCATCCATCCATCCGTCCATCTATCCACCCATCATCCATTCACTCAAATAATATTTATTGAATACTTCCTATGTGGCAGATACTGGAGTAAGTTCTAAGGATAAAATGTGGCCGAGCTAGAACTTAGCTGTCTGTCCTGAGTGAGACTGAACGAGATCTACCTTCCCTCATCACCCTCCACGGCTCAAGAGACCATGTTTTAAAAGTGATCCGAGCCCTGGCCGGGTAGCTCAGTTGGATAGAGCATTATCCCAATATGCCAAGGTTGTGGGTTTGATCCCTGGTTAGGACACTCACGAGAATCAATCAATGAATGCATGAACAAGTGGGACCATAAAAATTGATGTTTTCCTCACTCTCTCCCTTCCTCTCTCAAATCAACCAATAAATCTTTTCACTGACCCTTGCCTGGGAACTGTTCACGCTTCTCTGGTGTGGCCTGCTGGTAGGGGCAGCCTGACACCTTCCCGGATGAGCCCACTGTTAGGCATTAAGGTTGTTCCAAAGGCACGCTTGGGTGATAGAAGTATATGACATAGAAGGACCTTCAATGACATGGGATGATACCTCCTTTTATTAAGTGAAACAGTAAGTTACGGAACCAGAATGTACAGTATGTATGTAAGCCTAATTGACAAAAATGCATTTGTATAGATGGATATAAAGAATGTGACCGGTTTGCCCTGGATGATGATATTCTAGGTGGTTTTGCTGCAGGTTATTTCATGTCACTCTAGAACTTCAGCCACTAACTAGAAAGATGGTTGTCAGCACCCTCCTTGGTCTGAATGCCGGTGATGCCGGTGCCTCTAGCATGTTCTGGGAGCCAGCGTTTCCCCGAAGGCTTCGCCTCCTGTCTTGGTCCAGGTGCCCTTCCTTGAGGCAAGGCCCTGAGAAGGTGCCCGGTTTCTCCCATGCAGCCTATCATGCAGCAGGTGCTGACTCCAACACCCTCTTTTTTCAAATGTTTCAGGTTGCACCATCTTTGAAAACTGCAAGACCTGCCGAAATGGCTCGTGGGGAGGCACACTGGACGACTTCTATGTGAAGGGATTCTACTGTGCGGAATGCCGGGCGGGCTGGTACGGAGGAGACTGCATGCGTGAGTAGACCCCCGAGGCAGCTCCGTCTCTAGTGCCCGCTGATTTAATGTCTCCACTGGCCGCGGACTACGGTTTCTCTTGCTGGAATCTGAGCTCTGGCAAGCTTGCGGCCAGAGAGCTTTCTAGATAAGGCTATAAAAAAAACAAACACACGCATTTCCATCTGCTGGTTGTGGACTGTGGACATCTGTTTGGAATTGGCCACGGGAGGTTCCTATCTGCTCTTAAATCTTCCCCTTTCTGCTGAACAAAGCCAAGGCGCTCTGCACGGCCTCCTGGCCATCCTGAAGCGGCTCCACATTAGCATCTGTCAGATAACAGTGACTACAGCATCGAAATGCTCGGTCTGTAATGCATTTTAAATATGAATTTCTATTGGTACATTTTTTGAATCCTGCGTTAAATTCCTGAGACCCATGTCAAATTGTCAGCATGCCCCTTGTCCTGGAAAAGAGATTTTTTTCTGGGTTCTACTGGAACTCCAATTACTTAGTCTTTATGAGGGTTCCCTGTGGGTTTCCACAGGCCTTTGAAAATGGAGTGGAACTGTAACCTCCCCTCAGTCGGAGACTCCCCTCTGCAGAGCCCTGATGGTGGCTGTCCGCTGAGATGTGGGACCTGGGGCAGCGGACGCACTGTTAGTATTGTGTTAAGCCTGTTCTACGTGCTCCCTCCTTGAGTCAGAAGCAGTCTGGGTGGGCTTGCAGGCTGAGCAGTTTTCCTCCTGTAATGATATTCCCAGGCCGCGGAGATGGAGACTGGAGAGCTATTGGTATTCTTTGCCTGATCTAACCTTAGCAAAATGCCACAGATTTCAAGAGTCCGGGGAAAAGGGTGAGGTCTGTGGTTTGCGGCCGAAAAATGCAATTACCCCTGGGGAAGGGACACGTTGGTGCTTCACCGTGAGCCCGGGAGCTCAACTATTCTGAATACAGATGATTTTAAAGTGCTGGTCTCAGGTGCAGATTTAAAACTTTGATGTCATTTTAGATGGTTTCCAGGAAATTGAATTTAGGACTTTGCGGGGTTGGGGGTTAATTTCCAGGGAGATTCGCTGCAGGGATTTCACCTTGGTCTTCCTCTGGCAGCTGTTCTCTGGAGACATTCTGATATGATCAAGACCACAGGCTCTGGAATGACACGGGCCTGGGCTAACTAATGGTTTTGTACTGTGACCATGGCCAAGCCATCCTCCCTTGCTAATCGCAGTCTCCTTTTCTGGAAAATGGGAAGAAGGCTATTGGGCTGTTTGTAGAATTAAAGCAGATATGTGTGTGAAATGCCTAGTGCTTTGCCTGGCGTATAGCGAAAATGAATACAGTAAACGTATCCTTATTCTTTTATATGCTCCTGAATGGCCAAGCTGGTAGTGGTCCAGAAATAAAACTGCTTAAGACAGACATAATCAGAGCACAACTTCGATTTCGCATTGACCCCCTACAGTCTATTAGATCACTTTAGGGTTTCTTCCCTTTGAAATGGCAGGTTGCTCCTTCTCTGTGTGAGTGGAGAAGGGCTAAGTGATGTGATTGGGGCCATAGGCAGGAGTCAGATTGTGCATGGCCTTGTAGGTAGGTGAACTGGGTAAAGAGTTTAGATGTTATTCTGAGTGCAGTGGGAAAAGTTGGGGACTAGGATATGGCATTGACGGGACAGAGGTAAAAGAAGAGGGAGTCAGGGGTAAGGGAGATGTTAGGTAGGAGTTGATGCTTGAGCTATGCCTTTGCTCAGGTGTGGGCAAACCAGAAAGATATCTGTGTGGGTGCAACTCTAGACCCCTGGTTCTTAACCACAGTATCATGCAACCTCCACTTCAAAAGCTCTGTTTTCTCTGAAAAGTGGGAAGTGGAACCTCTGCTGAGGACAGAGTGGAAGTGAGACCGGGGCTTGAGAGTAGCAAAGGTTTGAGACAGCCATGCGAGGAATAAGGAAAGGCAAATCCCAGCAAGACTGAGGGCCTAGTTCAAACTGGAACTGTTATGTAGGCGCTGCAGTCAGGCCAGTGGGCAGTGCTCACCAGCACCATGGTAGCAGCGATGAACTGAAACTGGCATTTGCTTGATCTGAGAACTGGCTAAGACAGTTCATCCAGGTTTGATAGGACTTGAAATCAGAAAGAGCCTGGCAGAGAGAGAATAGGGATGGATGTCTCAATGTGGTAGAAAAGTAGGCTTAGTGGTACTAAAGCGATAGAACATGTAGATAGAAGGGGTATTGTAGGCAGAGAGTGGAATATCTAAGTTGAAGCTTTCAGGGGTGGTGGTGATAATATGTCCATATATAATAGTCAGTTTTTGCTGTGTAACAAATCTCAAAAGGAATTTTTTTTTTTTATTATGGGTCTGTGGGTGGGCGGGGGTTCAACTGATTTCAGTTGAGCTGATCTGGGTTGAACTCCAGGCCTCAGGGTCCAGGCCAAAGGGGCAGCAGCTACTAGGGACGTGCTGTACTTGGGGGAAGTTGCAGAAGCACAAGAGGCCAAGCCATACACACGGACACATTTAAGGCCTCTTCTCATATCACATTCACTCACAGTTCAAAAGAGGCCACGTGGCTAAGCCCCACATCAGTCAGCTAGGGAAGTATTCTCCATCCTAAGTGGTTGGACCAGTGACGGTATCCAGGTGTCGGATCAAGGCTTCCGCAAAGACAGCTTATTGCTACCACAGGCCATTGCCACTGGCAGAACACAGAGCCAGGCTCTCATTCATCAGTCTACCCAGCCATTCAAAAAATATTTCTTGAGTGGATGGTCTGGGGTGCTGGACATACAGTGATGAGCAAGACAGGTCTTGGAGCTTGCAATTTAGAGAAAAGAGACTAAAAAAAAACCCCCCAAACACCCAAAAAGTAAAAAAATTTGAAGTGTGGTCGTCAGTGAATAATGATCCGATTCCTGTCTCATTCTGTGTTAGTTCAGTTGTGCTTGTTCAGCTCCGTGATGTTTGCTCTGAAAGCCTCATCCCACGCAGTGTGCTCTCTGGCCACAGTCTCAGCCTTCATAGAGCATGTTCTGTGGAGCCCTGGGTTAGTCACCAGGGGAAACAATGAGCCCTCGGTGAGTTTACAAACCATCTATGGAAACAGCGTTTGACCATAAGAAGACATCCGTGTGATATTATGATGCTATTAGATTCTTACCACATGTGCCTCCTATTGGCATTAAATGAATGTGAGGGGAATTCAGAGGGGGAAGTAATTCATTTCACTGTTTGTGGACTGCTTGCCGGGCGCTGGGTGCTGCCTGTTTCTGTTAAGGGGAAGCCACACTTGGGTGGCTGTTAATGGCCAGGGCACCTTGCTGGACTCCCATGGCAGTGCAAGCATTTACCCAGTAGATGGCGCCCAAGTGATCCTTTCAGGCAGTTTCATTCCGAAGGAAGGAGGGCTTCTTGCTGAATACCATCTGGAGGCCCAGTCATTCCTGCCCCTCCTCCCTCCCTCCCTCCCCCCGTGTCATATAGAATCTTAGAAGGAACTAGAAGTGACTGGGAAATTCCAGAAAGACGATTCCGTATTTGAGTTATAGAGCTTTCATATAGAGCACTGAGCATATGTTACAGCACCTTTATTTGATCACGTCCTTGACAATGTTAATTAGTGATAACCCAACTTACGACTGTCTTAAAATCGGTTATGTGATCGAGTCATTCATAACCATTGGCAGATTGTATTAACCAAGATAACAGGAGGATGGCCTGAAGTCACTGAGCCTAAGGGAAGACTTTATTCACATCTCCCTGCCTAGGAAAGAATGGTTTCGTGAGCTCAGAATATCCAGGCTAGGGACGGGAGCCGATTCTTAGTTTTCTTTTCCCAACGTTTTATTTTGAAAATTTTCAAATCTGCAGAGAGTTGAGAGAATAGTACATTCCTATACCTTTCACTTGGCTTCACCTATTAACATTTCCCCACATCTGACTTTCTTTTACTGCACTATAGACACGTGAATTTAACATTTTCCCTGTCCCACGTTATCACCATTTTTCTTTTCTGTGCTAAAATTGGCCCGGGATTGGCCAGCAAAGCCCCTGCAAGCTGGCTCTACTGCATCGTTCGGTAAGCAATTCCTCGCTCTCTGGTCTGGAACCAGCCATTTCTCCACAAATCCTGGTTCCTCCTGCGGGAAAGGCATTTAGGAACGGCAGTCTGTGTGCTGGCTCCAAGAGGGGCTGAGAGCTAGAGTCAAAATGAAGCCTTCCTCTCAGTGGTTTCAACGCTTCTTAAGCTGGGAGGTTGGCTTCTCACGTGGAGCCCCTCTGCTGACCTCCAGAGTGGAGTTTTTTTGACTTGGCCCTCAGACTGAGTTTCTTAGCCACCAAATAAGATGAGTGGGAGCGGGACCAAGAGCCAGTCCGTATGTCACACTTCCAGGTAGCATGACAGTGAGCCTAACCTTTCAGGAGTCGAAGGATCCAGGGGATATGAGAAGGTTAGGAAATCAACCCAGAGAAGAAAGGATTTATAAGGAGAGATTACAGGTCTGAGTACATTTATCTTCTTAGTCATATTTTGCATAGAGGCAGAGGAGCAGAGGAACTGGCCATAAGCCATGCCCCAAAATGTGTGTGTGCTAGAATAGGAGAGAGGAGGAGGATTTGTGAGGCTGTTCCTTGAGCCATAACAGACAATGGTCAAGAGCAAATGTGTGTGTGTGTGTGTGTGTGTCTGTATGAGAGAGAGAAAGGGAGAGAGAGAGAGCACTTTCACAAAGCTTTTTTAAAACAAAAAAACACATTTTTATTGATTTCAGAGAGATGAAGGGAGAGGGAGAGACAGATAGCAACATTGATGAGAGAGAGCCATTGATCAGCTGCCTCCTTCATGTCCACTACTGGGGATCGAGCTTGCAATCTGGACATGTGCCCTGACCGGGAATCGAACCAACGGCCTCCTGGTGCATGGGTCGATGCTCAACCACTGGGCCACACTGGCTGGGCTGTATTGCTGATTAATGGAGCTGTCCTCCTGGAGAACCAGAGACTCACCTGGGTGGAGT